GGGCGCCGGGGGGGGGGGGGCGGCTGGGTAGGAGGGTATGAGAGTGCCAACCGTCACTGTCCTCAAACAAAGGCCTTGCTGAAAATCTCTGCCTTGCAGGATTGTAACACTCTTCCAGGGACATATTGAGGGAGACAGTCCCGAAGGTATGTGGGTCCCTGACCGCTAAGGGCCTTGAAGGTCAACACCAAAACCTTGAATCGGATCCAGTGCTTCACTGGGAGCCAGTGCAGCTCACGCAGCACAGGTTGAATGTGTGCCATCTGATGGGTCCCCGTAATGACCCACGCAGCCGCATTCTGGATCAGTTGGAGCTTCCAGGTCAGGTGCAAGGGTAGGCCCCCATAGAGCGAATTACAGTAGTCTATTCTGGAGGGGACTGTTGCATGGATTATTGTGGCTACCATTTCAGGCAGAAGCCTGACATACTCTGAGCAAATTGTCTTGCGAATAGGCACTCAGATATGCAGGGTTTTTTGTTCTTGTTATTTGTTGTTACATTTTTTTATCCTACCAGGCCTACAAAGAGGTCAGGACAGCATACATACTTCTCCAACCAATCACTGCCCCCTTTGATTTTGACAGTAACCTTGTGAGACTGAGATTGGGTTGCCAAATGGCACTTACCCTTGTGGCGTTGGACTCCAGCCCGGCTCCCGGCATGTGTGCGCGCGCGCACCGCATGCACGTCACAGGGAAGTGACATTATGACGCCGGGCACGCTGGGGCAGGGCCACAGCCATTTGAGGGGAAAACTCTATGTTTTCCCCTCAAATGGCTGTGGCCCCGCCCCCAGCGTGCCCGGCGTCATGACGTCACTTTCCTGTGACGTGCACGCGGGGGTGGGGTTTCCCCGAGGCCCGATTCCGCCGTGGCGGAAATCGGGCCTCCAAAGCGGGGGTTCCCCCACCCCCCGGCCCGATTTGGCAGCCCTAGACTGAGAAAAGGTAATGGGTTACTGGATGAAGCTCATTGGGTGAGGTTGATGGCTAAGCAAAGGATGAACTGTCCCATTTTGTCCTGAAATGTGACCCATCTCTTGCCTATCCTTACCTGGGTTTTGCAAGTCAGGGCAATAAACATGGACCAGGAGTCAGGACAAATGATTGGCCAGGGTTCCCAAACTTTTCAGGCCTGTGGGCACATTTGGAATTCTGACTCAGTGGTAGGCTTGAAAACAGAACTGGCCACACCAGTAGTCAGAAAAAGATGTAGAAAAACAGGTGCAAGGTGAAATAGCATTTATTAAGTTCCTGTGGATCCCTATGCATTTTGCAATTTGCTTCTTCAGGGAATCGTTTCCAAAGTTGTTCATTTCCACCTTAAGCAGTGGAAAGTGAATAACTTTGGAAATGATCCCCTGAAGAAGCAAATTGCAAAACACGTAGGGATCCACAGGAACGTAATAAATATTATTTCACCTTTGGTGGTAGGGTTGCCAGTCTCCAGTTGGTAGCTGGAGATCTCCCAGTATTAGCACCAGTGTTCCCTCTAAGCTGAGTTAGTGTGAGCTAGCTCACAGTTTTTTAGCCTCCAGCTCACACATTTTGTCTTAGCTCAGGAAGGATGGCTCCAGAGCAAACTGATTTATGCAGTAGCCAAATCGCTCACTCACAACTTTAATGCCAGTAGCTCACAAAGCAGAATTTTTACTCACAAGAGTCCACAGCTTAGAGGGAGCATTGATTATCACTGGTCTCCAGGTTACAGAGATCAGTTCCTCTGGAGAAAATGGCCACTTTGGAGGGCGGTTTCTATGGCCTGAGATCCCTCCCATCCCCCAATTCCACCCTTCTCAGGCCCCACCCCCAAAATCTCCATGTATTTCCCAGCCCAGAGCTGGCAACCCTACACAGTAGTGAGCACAACAGCAAAATGGCTGCTGCAGGAGGCAGAGCCAGCTACAAAATGTCAGGGAGTGAGGTTATGCATAGCTCTAAATAGTACCTCTTCAATAATTCAGGCAGAAGTTATGTTTAACAGGATTCCCTTTGAAACGAGTGCATTGTTTAAAAGTGCTTCTTGCATACAGTACCACAGTGAAGATCCTTGTGGTGGCAGCTGTTGCTAAAGCAACTTTTAAATATCTGCACAGCCAATCAGATCTCCAATGGCCAGTCAGAAACCCCACTGGCAAAAAGGCCTGCCCGGTTCCACCCACTTTTGAAGAACACGTGGAGGGCACCAAGAAAGGTGTTAGGTGCTGCGGTGCCCACAGGCTCCACACTGGGGAGGGACCCCTGTGATTGGCAATGGGAGGGCAAATCAAAAGAAAACAAGAAGAAATGAACTGGTGCTGATTTCTTCCTGTTAAAGCCTATAGCAGTACCTCTAGGGTTTGATTGTGGTGAGGACCAGTGTCATCAGTTGCCCCAGAGTACTCTGAGCACATATGTCTGTGAGTTTATTCAGATAAAATGCCACTAGCTGAGCATGCAATGACTGCTTAACGTTAGAGCAGAAAGTGTACCATGTTTCTCTGTTCTTCAAATTTGCATTATGCTTGTTTTTAAGAGAAGCTGTTTGCCCTGTATATTCGCCCGTGGCTGTCCTGTTGGAACGAAAGTGGTGGTAGGTATTTGATGACGATTCCTATAAATAAATGTAACTTGTTGAGTTATTTATGTGTAAAATGTTAATTCCACTATGTAAATTCCACTGAGTTCCATTGGAATCCTACTGCTATTTTATTTATTTACTAATTTAAAATCTTTATACCCCACCTTATCCTCACAAGCTCAAGGTGGCTATAAAATATCAGCCTGTGCCTATTTTATGAATTTCTACTTGGGGGTGGATCAAGGGTCCAAAGCTTCAGTTCTCAGTTTTCACACATTAAAAGGGCAGGACAGTTTTTTGCTCCAGGTTATTGGCAACCCTGCATTCATTGTCTGCAGCCCCAAACTCTACATGTCCAGTTGACTAAATGCAGAGATTCCTATGTGGTACAGGTGTCCATACGTCTTTCTGTTCATGCAGTCAGGGAAACCTGAGGATCCCCCATCACATAGAGCCTATACATAGGCAGCTGGATGCATGTTGGGCTCTCTGCACACATTTGGTGGAAGGTACAGAGGCTGACAGTACAGCTTGTTAGTTCAGTCCTGCCCCCCCCCATTCATTTACTGTATATGTGATTTTCTTGGGACCACAGCAATGGTAACTCTGCAGAAAAACCTCAGTAGAATATAATCTGAGAGACTATTACAGAAAATTGTGACAATACGTAAAACTGGGCTATGTCTTTCTCTTTAATCTTAAGAATATAAGAGAAGGCATATTGGATCAGGCCAGTAGCCAAACCCCAGGTGCTATCAGGAGGCCCACCAGCAGGGCCTGAACTCCGGAAGCCCTTCCACTGTTGCCCCCAAGCACCAAGAATACAGAGTGTCACTACCCCAGATATAGTGTCCCATCTTGCTGCAGCTTGGATCAAATTAATAAACTCCATTAATAATTGAATATAACAGGAGGGCATTACTTCTTTTCCCTCTCCGATACTAGCAGAATAAACTATGCAACAAAGCAAATATAATTTTATCACTTCAAAAAGTTGCAGGAGGTTTTTTATTCATTGCTTCAAACTTTCTGTTTTAAGAAGCTGTTGGAAATGCTGTGGTGTATAAACACTGAAAAATAAAAACAGAAATCGGAAAATATACTTTCTAGGTCCATGGAAATTACTAACAAAAGTAGTTTTTTGATTGCCAAGATATCTTCTTCAAGTTAGTATTGTTAGATCCAGGTGGGCAGTCATGCTGGTCTGAAGCAACAGAACAACGTTAGAGTCCCGTGGCACCTTGAAGACCCACAAAGTTTTATTCCAAGCTTGTCATTCTTTTTGTCGGTTAAAAAACATCTTCACTCTTTTGCATGCTAATTTAACAAGCCACCCTCTATATATACAACTATGATCTGTAATTCCATCTCATTATCTGATGAAGTGTGCATGCACATGAAAGCTCACGCCTTGAATAAAACTTTGTTGGTCTTGAAGGTGCCCCACTGGACTCTAAGTTAGTATTGTGTTAGTATTGTCTCTTAGCTGAGTGTGTTCAGCTTGTGATTTCAGCAGAAAAGATTTCATACAAAATGGCTGTATTCATTAACTAGAAATATTATGGAAGGCTGTGAATGGATTGAATATAATGATTTTATGTATAAAATCCACCTGTCTGAAGCTCATAAGAATCTGACCCTTTTGTACAGGAAGGAAGCAGACAAATCTGCTTCTACTACAAACCTTATGAGCGCACCATGGAAAAGGGATGCCGGGTCCAATGTGCGAAGACTGTAATTGTGAGTATTTTGATTGAATTTCTGTTGGTCATTACATTACTACACATGCAAGATAAGCTGTTTCCATGGCACTCAATTATTCAGAATCATTAAAAGTTAATTTTAGGATCTTCGTTAAAGTGTTGGTGTCTTCCTCATACTTTCCCCCTAAGGTCATCTAGAAATGCATCTTCACTTGGGTACTCTCTTAGCCTTTCTGTCATGTTCCATATGCATTAGACCCCTGAATTTACTGCAGGGCAGAAAATGACCTCCATTCCCACAGCCAGCATGGCATCGTAGTTAGAGCATTGGACTAGGATCTAGGAATCCACTTAGCCATGGGAGCTTGCTGGGCAGGCCCGTAGCTAACATGGGGCCCACGGGGCCCGGCCCCCTTGTGTTTCTTCTGGGCCCCCTCCCTCCAGGGCTGCCCCCAAAGTGCTCCAACTTACCACCTGCACTGTACTTCCATTTAATTAGCTGGCGGGGCCCCCCAAGACCCCCTCCCAAAGAATTCCCTAGCTACGGGGCTGTTGCTGGGTGACCTTGGGCCAGTCACAGCCTAACCTATGTCACAGGACTGCTGTGAGGAGAAAATGGAGGATAACAGAATGATGTGAGTCACTGTGGGGATCCCCATTTGGTAGAAAACTGGGGTACAAATAACGTAAAATGTTAAAATTAATAAAAATTCTGACTTCTGAAAGAAGAGGTGTGTCTAGAGGCTCTGCCAGGACTAGCCCCATCACATCCTCCTGCCAGAGAAGATGACCTCTGCCCAACTATCTTCAATGACCTTTTTACTTTTCCCTGTTACCAGCAAGGCCCCCAAACTACTCTCCTCTTTAGCTATTTCCTCTCCATTTTTATATCCTAAATCAGCACTTTAACTTGGAGCAGAGGCAGACTCTGGCTGGCCAAAGCTTTTGCAGAGTGAACTAGGAATGGTCCAGTTCCTCAAACTGAAGAAATTAACAAGTGGTTCTCCCAACCATGAAACTGGAAGATGATGGGTGTGCACTTTTCTTCCATTTTTCCTTTCTTATTCTCAACCAGTTCCCTAACTTTTATTTATTGTATTAGATTTGTATCCCACCCTTCCTGCATAGCGGGCTTAGAGCGGGTTCCATCAAATATAATATATAAAGAGTTAAAAACAGTTAAAACCAAAGCCTCAACAGATGAGGTCTATCACAAATTGGGATTCCAGATGTTACACAGATCTGGTCCACTAAAGGGGAGGCCACCCTAGTGTGACATTCTAGCATGTAGCAGAGACACAGAATGTTGGGAAATGGCCGTTGCAGTCTATGTACGGATGCATGCCGTCAGTCAGTGCTCTGACCTGGATGGCCCAGGCTAGCCCAGCCTCATCAGATCTCAGAAGCTAAGCAGCAGCATCCCTGGATAATACTTGGATAGGAGACCACCAAAGAAGTTCCAGGGCCACTGTGCAGAGGCAGGTGATGGCAAACCACCTCTGAACATCTCTTGCTTAGAAAACCCTATTGGGTCACCATAGGTGGCTGTGACTTGACACCGCTTTTCGCCACCAATCAGACAGTAGGAATCACGATGTTGTCAGAACCCACAGCTAACAACGAAGTACACACATTCAGGAACAGTTATACTTTTATTGCAAAGCTATAGATGCAGTTACACAGGCACTGTTAAGAATGGCGGCAACCCATAGAGTCTAATAGGATATAGGGTATTCGTATGCACCCCCCCATGGCATGGGCCAATTAGATACCCTCCCGCGCACGGGACAAGCTAGGAAACCATTAGGTAGTGAAAGCTGGGAACCAGGAGTCTCTCACGGTACATAGGAGACTTCCAGACAACACAACCTCCTCCTGCACATCTGTAGAGATAAGTGTTTCAGCCAAGGCAGAACAGCATGGATAGGAATGCAATAGCAATTAACAAGACACAGAATGAACTCCCCAACCCCCATGGCAGCATAGCTGACAGATGTACAGGCTCACTCAAACGTATCTAACCTTAATCTGCAAGGTTTTTCTCAAATGCCCTCTTTCTTGTTGTATTCTCTTACACGTGATTCTCATTTGCCTTCTGTGTTTTTTCTTTCCAGACCAGAGAATGTTGTGCGGGTTTCTACGGCACACAGTGTGAGCCTTGTCCACAAGTAGCTGGAAATATTTGCTTTGGGAATGGGATTTGTATGGATGGCTTCAATGGCACTGGCTTTTGTGAGTGTGAAGCGGGCTTCAAAGGACTGGCCTGTGATAGCTGCATTGAAGGCAAATATGGCACCAACTGTGATCAAGGTATTAAGCCCCCAAATGATTGATAAGTAGTTAAAAGTTGTACAGTTCTAAAAGTGTCAGTCATCTATCACAGTCACAGATACTGCAAGAATGATATTGGGGGATGGGAGCTGAGGAAACTGAATAGTTCTCCTGCTTCCTCAAGCTTCTCCTTGCTGATCACAGTGAAGAATAGAGGGATTTGCTTTGGAAGCACCCTAGAAAGGCATACCCACACAAAAGTCTTGAAAGGTTTGGAAGTGCACTTAATGGATTTAAAATGTCATTTAAAAAAAAAATTAACCACCATACTCATGTATAACAAAGGTATTGTGCCTGACTAGTCAAAAGCATGAGAAGAATGATCTTTTCAGACGTGGAGGTGATTGAGCATGAAGAGACAGGTGGAAAATTAGTATAAGCAAGTGGGGATCCAGGAGTCTTGCAGGAGTTGGGATCCCATCCTTTTCTCTCCCTTTGCCACCTCCCCCACTGGCCTTTCTGTCCTCTTTTCACCCTCTCCCCCACCTTCTAGAGTAGTGGTTAGGAGCGTGGACTCTAATCTGGGAGAACCGGGTTTGATTCCCCTCTCCTCCACATGCAGCTCCTGGTGTGACCTTGGGTCAGTCACAGTTCTCTCAGAGCTGTTCTCTCAAGAGCAAAACAGCCCTCTCAGCCCCACCTACCTCACACAGGGTGTCTGTTGTGGGGAGAGGAAGGGAAAGGAGATTGTAAGCCGCTCTGAGATTCCTTTGGGTAGTGAAGGGCGGGGTATAAATCCAATCTCCTCCTCCTCCTCTTCTTCTTCCACTGGCCTTTTCCCTCACTCTTCCACACACACTCTCCAACTTTCCCTTGCTTCTCCTACCCTCCCCTTTTCAATTTTCTATTACTGCATCCCTTTTCTCTGGGCCCTTTTCTTTTCCTGCCAGGATTATTAGGCAACCTCTCAATGTCATCTATGATCTCACGAGATTTTAGAAAAATCTCAAGTGGTATTCACTATTTGAGGGTAAACTCAAGCCCCAAACCCTTGTCTCACTTTTCAGATTTTTGTGCAAACCTGGGGGATGTGCAAGTGTGGTAGCAAAAATTCCCTGTATTTGAATATGGTCTCATTTTGCAGATTTTTTTTGATCTATATTCTTGGGCCATTGGGGGAAGGGGGGGGGAATCCCATTCTGCCCGTCATGTGCTCACCCTCAGCTCACTTAGAGCCAACACCAGCCCTCATTTAAGCTTCCACTCCCCCCCCCCGCACAGGCAAACTCACAGGAACAGAGATTCTCACTTACTTCCTCCACCCCCTCCCCCACTGCTCTTGCCAGCCTCCCATCCTGTTCACCATTTCCCCCACCCACTCTTCTCTTCTCTGCCATACACACCCTCCTTACCTCCTGATGCTGTTCCCGCTGTGCCTGCCCATCTGTCTGTTCACTGGGCCCATTTGGCCCATTCCCCTTTGCTCCTCCACCCACCCATTTCCAGTACCACCACCACCCATCATTCCCCCCTACCCCAGTTATTTGGCAAAGATTCTTGGTCCTCTTCTCCTGCCTGCTCACCCACAGCAGTGCTGCCTTCTGGCTGAAGCAGTGGAGGGTGGAAGAGCAGCTCCAGAAGCTCCTAATCCTCCTCCCTGCCTGCCTGAGAAGCGGTGGTGGTGGAAGGGCTGCCACGGCCAGTGAGTGTCCGGGCACTTGCAGTGGGATGGCTGCTCCTTCCTCCTCGCTTATGGTGAGTGCATTCCTGTCTGGGGGGGGGGGGCCCACCCCCCCCGCCTGCCATTGCCTGTAATTTTTCAGATCTTTCTGTAAGCCTGGGGAGTTTACCAAGTTTTAAGAAATATCTGTTTTCTGGCAATGTGGCCCCAGTCTGCAGATTTAAGTATCCATGTTGACTATTAGATATATTGACAAGTAAGGAGACCCGCGATACTTATGCGCGGGGGGGGGGAAGCGCTCCGTCTCCTCCATCCCCCCCGATCTCCCCGAGGGGGCGGCGAGGCCAGTCCTCCCCCCCGCCCG